CGAATTGGAACCCATCTACAAAAACGCACATCATCAGTCGGCTCCGCATGGAACACAACACGGGCTCGAGCATTTCAGGCTGAACTGCGGCACAGGCGGCGACGATTCTTTGTTTCAGGTTGTCCACGCTGGTGGTTTCTGTGGCGTAGACTTCATTCTTCACATAACGTAATGTAAAGAATCAAAAATCCCAAAGAAAAAAATCTAACGGGCTCAGATCTGGTGATCGTGTCGGCCACGGAACTGAATAACTGCGTCCAATCCACTGCTCTGGAAAAGTTCGCTGTAGAAATCGAACAGCACGCGAAAAAGAATGCGCTGAAGCGGCGTTCTGTTGAAACCACGTCTCCTTCAGCGCGCTGACAGGCAGGCCGGCAATAAACTCTTCTACGACTCCCTCAGGGATTCTCTCCGTGTATAGTTTTCCGTTAAGTGTGCCGTCAAAGAAATGTGGGCGAATGATTTTATCAATAAATATTCCACACCATACGTAAACAGACCATCTCACTCGATGTTTGTGCTGACGGAGCCAACGAGGATTTACGCTTGCCCAGTAATGGACATTGTGGAGGTTCACAGTTGAATTTCTGCACAATTGAGCCTCATCGCTCCAAATAATTTTTTTTCAAGAATTTAGGATCCCGGTCTATTTCAATCAGGGCCCAATTCCAAACGTCCATTCGTCGTTGGAAGTCAATGCCATGTAACTCTTGGTGAAGGCTAACGTGAAACGGATGCATGCGATGCTTCACAAGGACTTTCCACACTGTAGAGATCGTCCCAGAAGACCTCGCAATTTCGTGCACGCTTGCTTCAGGTTTAGCTGTTACGTACGCGAGAACGTCAGTCACGAATTCGCGGCTAAAAACATATTTTTTGTCTTCGCCCAATCACCACCGTGCCACTTGATGCAAACTTGTTGAAAACGCGTATGAAGGAAGTGTGGGAAGGAACGAAGCGACCTGGGTGCTGAGCGGCATAAAGTTGCGCAGCATGACGAGCCTTCTTTTGCATAGTTAAATATGCGATCACCATGTCTGTTTTTTCTTCGACCGAAAGCCTTGGCGCAATGAGCAACGCCATTCAGATGTGTTTCCTGCCACCATGAGAGAAAGAAAGGCACAGCACTATGAATCAAATAGCGCCTGTGTTATTTGTAGCCTTTTTCCTTCCAAAGATATGGGTGCAAACCTGTGTCTTTTACAACAGAGGAGCAAGTGACGCAACGTTCGTCGCTTTGTAGCCCTTTTCGCACAAGTCTTCAAAGCAGCTTCTATCATATCAATAAAGGAAAGGGTAGCGTCATCATGCCCGCTGGGACAGCGTGATATACGCCTGCCGCGGTAAGCAAAACACTAAGGGGAGAGCACCGTATTGCAAAAGCGCTGACGGCAGTGCCTGCATCACAGGTGACGTCACTGCTGTGATGCCAAGCGAGGTCGAAGATATCGACGCCATTGACGCTCTTGTTCTGGCCAGTTTCGGTTTCAAAGAGCATGCGGGAATGAAATAATTTAGCCAGAAACGCGCGCAGAAATTTTTTGCTGTTCATTTCGCTGTGGGGTTGGAGCATATTAAGGTTGGGCTTCAATTTCGTAAATGCAATAGGCCCTTTAAAAACAATAATCAAAAAGTTAATTAAGAGATCTCTGTTAATTAGCCGCCTAGTTGTCAAAAATACTTTGTTCCTAGTGGGCGCCAGGTCGGGTATGCTAATGGCATAACTAAAAGTGCCCTAACGCAGCTTTCGTTTTTTGAAAATTTGGGACAGATAAAAAAATACCTGTATACCGAGGATGCATAAATATGGCACTACAACCTATAGGCTGCATTTTTCTGATATTTTATATACAGGGTGTTTAATTATAATTCCAACTGCCTCTTTTAACTGAGTGAGAGTTAGACAAGTGCCCTCTTCACAATGTATTTATGAAGCTTAGATAACATTAGTTGAGGGAAAAGTCGTCATGGTAAGCAGGCATTTTAAACTAAAATCCGTTCATGAACTTTTTAGTTTTTACTTTTAAGGTCATGTTACAACGGCATTAGAGGAGATGTACGAATTGCTAGCACGTCTCGCAACATTCAGCGCATGCTTCATATCGGCCATCTTTGTTAAGTCCAATTGGGAGAGCCGGAGAGCCGCTTTAGCGCGTTCATGAACCATGTAGCCCGCCGGAGGATTGACGCAACGATGGAATTTTACGAAGTCAAACCATAGCATACGCCGAAACAATTTAAAAGCTTTACATGGCCTTTCTGAAGACACGCTCGCAGCTTCTGCGTGTCGACAGCGACGTCGTCTCGCCAGCAGAGCAAGTCGTACGTGTTTTGCTTTCGGAGCGTACACGCGGCCCTCATCGGTGTCGACACAGGTCTGCGATTCAAGGTATGCAAGTACTGTTGCATATGAACATGGACCAAGGTAGTTACACTTGCTAAAAGTCTGTTTTAGAAACAACGCACAATTTACGAACAGATCGCTTCTATGCGTGCTTATTTAAAATCGGGAGCATCCTACTTCACATTTGAGTCACCACATTTACTTCCGAGGCACGCCGACACCTTTTCACTGTACATCCCATCTCACAAATTGTGTGCTGCGCACGCGAACGGAGAAGTTTGAGAACTTGGCTTCGCAGAATTCGTTGTATGCATGAAAACTCGCGCAGAGAAGACACTTTCAAAAGTGTCGCGCTCGCTGCAAAGGCGGTACTGTAGACGCCTTTGTAGTGTATTTGCACTTAGGACGTCATAATGGCACTTCAGTGCACTGACAAGCTGCAAAGACGCGAAACGGTAAAATCATTAGGAAACGTATGCTCACAACGGGCTCGCACCTTGCTGTGAGTGAGGCTTTGTGTAGGTTAGAGCAGTACCTTCGCGGCGTGGGTTATTAGCACTTACAGCCACCGAAGGGTAACAAAGAAGCTTACAAGCAATAGAGTGATTCACTATCAGAAATTCGCCGCGATTTAGAGCACTCGTCGGGAACGTATCGCGTTAGAGAAGGAAGTCAAAAGGTTTGCGCCATCACAGTAATATCCTGCAAGATCGCAATCCCCGATATACATAAATTATGTACGTAGAAAACAGCCGTGCCCTTTCCTACAGTACACTACATTAGCGATAGATAGCATTCTTTTGCTCACGCTAAGTGTACGCATCGCGAGACTGTTAGTTCGAATAAGATACCGGCGCTTTTTGCGTCATTTTCGAACCGCAAATTAAAGAACACAAAGCTTCACCACCCATTTTAGTTCCCCCAGAGAGTTATTCTCAAAACATACGTAGTTTTTAGCGATATGGTTTTATCTGTCAAAATAAAAGAGAAAAACCCGACGGTGGTTTCCTCTTGCTAACAGCTCAAGGGCTTGAATAGGAATAATAAACGAATAAACGATACATTTGTAACACATACCTTGTTCCCATTGCTTTCGTTGGCGCCACCTTGCTTGCAGAGAGGGACACAGCAATTTTCTGACGTCTAGCCGGTAGAAAAAGAAGATCGCGGAGTACACCCGAGCGCGCACCAACCCGTCCAGCAGCTTTTCTGAACCTAACCGAGATGGCGGATCTAGTTCTTCTTGCGCCTAGTAGATGACTCTGCGCATTTCGCATCTCTCAAGCCCCTTGATAAAGGCGTTTTTACCAGCATCGCCAACAATTGTTGTGGAAACGCAGAAGACACGTGCCCCCGCGAGTGGGTGCTCCACCGCCATTCGCCTCCAAAGTCCGCTCATTTCAGTTCTGCGCAGCCATTCGCTTCCAAGGGCGGCTCGAGAAACGAGCCTTGTGCACTAGCGTGCTTGACACTACTTGCAAGATAAACGCAAACACATCGATGGGCTTTACGTATATATCCTAATGACGGCAATAGCTGTCAAAGGAAAGACCAATAAAGAAATGTGAAGATCCAATAGGAAAATGGGCATCAGCCCTACCCACAGTGACGCTTAGTAGAGTGACGTGGTCGTTTCAGCCACGTCGACACGTGTCGTTGGCGCACCGACCAAGAACACACTGCCGAGATAGTGAAAACGTGACTGAAAACGTGACGTGTCGGCAGAGCTGCGACACCCTTTTTGCGGGTAATTTTAAAATTGGAATGAAAACGTGAAAGTTGATAAATTAAAATCTAAAAACTTATGTAGTATCGCTACACTTGCCTATCGTTCTGTCCTGTAATAATAATTTTCGTCAATACTGCAATTTAAACGTATTCCCTAAAACGAATATTTAGATTAATTAAAAAATATAGTTAATGAGCCAAAGTATCATGACGATTATTCCCTCATGTAGTTTTTGTTCTGCTTGATAAAACCAGGTCGAAGACCGGCACACGCCTAACACTCACCTCCTTTTTTATAAAAATATATGCTCGAGTACGAAACCAAGCACCTTGTACATGCGGCTGGCCGCATATAGAGGGTGCTCATCAAAACTCTGAATACTTAAAAAAGTACAGTTGAAATAAATAAATGCTTGACTGGAAGGCAAAGAGAATTCAACGTAATTATCTTTAGGTATGCTATATGTGAGCACCCTATCTTCAGGCTTGAGTAGGCTCTGAGTACATAGTCGGCTTAAAACAAATTCCGGTTAAAAAAAAAGGTTTTCCTTCGGTTGTACGCACCTGCTGCATAATTCACACCCGGTTCACAGTTCGTACCTGATGCCAAGAAAACGGGAAAACATAATTTATGCCTCCTTTATAAGCTCAAGAAGGATCTTGCATCATACACAAATCATCATTAAACTATTCTTCCATTCACAGAATCCGTCATGTATCGTCAGAAAGCACGATCAAGGAGAAACAAATTCTCGCGTAGTCCGTGCTTGTACGATGGTCCGCACCGCGTAACATTTACATTAACAAGCTATAGTTCGTTATCTATTGTCTTAAAATATGGTTCATGTATCAAGGTGAAAAAACCAGGAGACATGCAAATTATGAACATGTGTGTGTGAGTGTGTCTGTTCTTTTTTTGTATTTATAGGCGCCAGCAATTTTTTTGAACTATTCATATCTGAATGCTTGGCGCAGCCTGGAGTTAAATAGGGACATTCAAAGACGCCTGATTTTACGAAAACAATATAAGAACGAAGATGAGTGAGTATGGTCAATGCCTGTTTTCTTGGATTTATTGATTTCATATAGATATCAGTCTTGGGTAGAGTTACAATTCTTTTATGAAACTTTCCAGCTTTTTCACAGGTGCGCCAACGGTAAATACGTTTTACAGCCAATGGACTAACGAAATCAGTAAGTACCCAAACAAAAAATAAATTCGAGAGCAGTAAAGATTCATTTTGAAGTTTCCCTTTTCCTTTCTTAGGCTCAAAACAATCATCACGGTACACTAGATCATGTTGTTAAGGCATCTCTCAAATGAATATTTTATTGCGCAGTGGGTTTACCTAGTAAACCAATCGAAACGAGACTGAAATTATGCAGGAGCAGCTCACAGTAGCTCGAAATTTTGTTTTTATTTATTTATTTGAAAATACTATCAACACTCTCTTGAGTGACATTACACGGAGGGTATCCGTTACAAGTATACACACGTCAATGCAGGGAGCGGTTGACAATTAACACATATTAACACGTACGCAGTACAAGTTTGTGACCCTAACTGGTTGACACCTGAGTATGTATATTCCCTACGAGCCCGTTTTAACTTACCTGGTTGCGTGCTTTAATTTGTTTATTAGCAAGCATAGATTCCTCTACGTCATTAAGCAGGTGGTGTCAATGCGTTTACTCCTCGTTAAATCTTCTGGGATGGTAACTACGAGACACTTAATGTCTTAAATTATTCCCAGTTGTTTGTCACCATAGAAATATCGGAACAAAAGAAAGCTACGCTTTTTAGCAATATGGGCGTATACAAACTTTACAAAATGTATTTTTATATTTTACGTGTAACATTATTCCTCAATGGTGTCAAGATAAATATTTACGGAGAGTTTACTGTTGAACAGGTAATACAATCGTCCTAAACACGCTTGACGTGAAAGTGACTGCATCTTAGCGGGGTTCTTTCGCCATGACTGAAAATTTTCATCACCAGTGTCATCATTCTTTGTCCCCGGCTTAGTGTTTCAATTTTGCAACTAGGTAGAAATTCGTTTGCGTTCTTAGGTGCATCGAGTCAGCATTAGTTTTGTCATTCTCATTAGTATTTTGCACTGCGCAAATTTGTCGAAGTTTCCACGCGTTTTGTTTTATGTTTCGCGAGATTGTGGGGTCATAATTGTTGCGTAACTTCATATATAACTAAGTAATAAATTTCAAAGTGAAATAAATGTATTCATCCAATTTAGGTTTATATTTTTTGTACTTGTTTTAGCATTCACTTTGCGTTTAAATTCTTATTTTGGTTTATTAATTTAGTTTTGCTTCCTTTATAATCACTCTTTTTCTTCCCCGTCCTCATGACCGCGGAATATGCTTAAACCGGCCCCTTAGTCAAAAAGTGTAAAGACCCCTGGTTTAGAATAGTAAGATTGAACCCAGGTAATAATAATCTGATGTAGTCCAAAGCAATTTCATTTTGATATTTTTCTGTGTGGTACCCTATCAAACGCTTTATCAAAATGTATGCAGATGATATCGACTTGTGAAAGGGGCCAGCTGAACATGAAAAAGACACAGAGAAATTATTATAACATTGGCACCACTGGACTAGCAACATTTCATAATGCCTATTTTTTATTTTCTGCTAATCCTTGATGATGGTTTTCTTTTTCTTTACACTAACTTAATTCTTTTTATTCCTGTACACTTGATTTAGGTTTTCGTTTTCTTTACGCTTAATTCGCAATTCATTTTCCTGCAACGCAGTGACCTTTCTGCAGTCGTAATGTTCTCATTCCTTCTCTTCTGTCTTCTTTAAACGGGCTTCCTCTTTTTCTACCGTTGCCTAAAACTCATGTCACTCCTCAGGAAAATCTTCTCTTAATTGTGTAGTGCGACGGAAGGGGCACTAACACAGTCCTCGCCTTTTTCTTCGATGGCTAGGGCTTCCAGCAGTTTACGGACGAGTTGATGTTTATGTCGCACCACGATGTTCACGTTGCACAACACTGCCTTGCATTAGCATGCGCGAGAATGGGCTGAAACGTGTCCTGCTGCTGTCAAGATTCGCAGAGATGTGGCATGTTTCCAGGTTCTATCATTAAAACAGCGCCCTGTCTGCCCAATATAACACCTTCCGCATGTTAATGGGATGTTAAAAATGACTTATTTTTGACATTGGGCGTACTTTGTTTTGTGTGCGATGCTACATGCTTCTCGGTGCCTACGTTGATTTTCGTTTACCCTGCCGCACATAGAATATCCCTTGTTCGGCGCGGAGCTTATGACTTGGACCCCTTTCCGGCCTGTGATCTTTTTTAGCCGGTGAGTGATGCCATGGAGGTATGGTGCTACCACTAAGGGATTTCCAGTCTTTTTCTTTGTTGTTCGCTCGATGCCTTCCTCTCCGCGCTTCAACTTCTGGGAGATTTTTTCACATATTCATATCAGTAGTGTTTCCGGATACCCAGCATGAAGTAGCCTAGATATCTGAGTGTCAAAACTCTTCTGGATCTGGTGTTGGCACGACTACTTTAAGGCATATGTTAGTGCCATGGTGGCGACCCCACGTTTCACGTTCTTTGAGTGTCCGGATTCGAACGGAAGACACCCTTTGCAGGACCGAGCTTGGTATCGCCAGCAGACATGGCCATTTTTAGGTATAAGGCAAGATAAAGGAATCTGATAGGTCTGTTTTCGGGTAGTTCATGAGTGAACACAAGTCCTATGCAGCTCTGTTGAAAGCATCTCATGACATACTCGCGGCAACCGTTGTCTTGTTCTTCTACCTCCGTGTTACTAAGTATTAAGAAATCATCAACGTAGCGGAAGATGACTTCAATCCGGGGATCTTTCATGCTTCGTTGGAGAGTCAGTCCGCATGTTGCGAGAAACACATCGCTGAGGTAAGGAGCCATTCGGGACCCGATGCATACACCACTTTTCTGTACATACTGCTGATCTTTATAGGACACCACCTTCGCCTTCAGATGAACACTTAGCACATCCAAAATGCTGTCGAGGGACATGTGAGCGGCACTTTGGAATGATGTGAGACCTTGCTGTCGAATTGTTTCTCGAAGTATGTTTAGGAGGCCTGCATGGGGGATGGAGTAATACATATATTTTGTGTCAAGAGAAAATCCAGAGGCAATGTTAGAACCATTTTTCTGAAGGAAGGAGATCACACTTTCTGAGTTTGGAATCTTGAAAAGGTCTTGTACGTGCACTTCAGACAGTTGTTTGGCCAGAAATGTTGACGCTTGTGCTTGCACAGTATTTCTTTCTGATACGATTGCCCGGAACGGAACTCTGATTGACTGACACATGGTTATTCTTCGATGCTTTGATTTTTGTAACAAGACTGCCTAGCTGGTTATTTCCTAGTATCTTGAGGATGACTATTTTGTTGATGCAGTTATTTTTTGATCCACTGGAATGAAATTTTTTGCGATGGCTTGAGCGGCTCTTTCTCTGTACTTTCCTTTATCGGGAACTTCTTTTTTTTTCTTTTTTTTTCTTTTCAATGTGTTGCAGAATTTCTTTTCCTGCAACACATTGACTTTTCTGTTGTCGGAATGATCTCATTCCTTCTCTTCTTACTGATACGCATAGTTTTAGATCTTTTAGAGGCTCCATCCCCAGTAAGACAACTAGCGTATACTACCTTGGTCACAACTAAACTAGAATTCGCTTCTTCCATGTGGGTGGCAGGCATACGTAACTAACAACCTAGAATCCATTCAAAGCAGAGCCCTCCGTTTATTTATTCCGACTATTTTCCTTACGCAAGCATATCAGGATTTTGCCAATCAGCTAACCTTGACACCCTTTGTCACCGGCACAGGGTGTCTCGTCTTTCTCTTCTTCATCGGGTCTTTTATCACACCAGTCATCTCAGACAAAGTTTGCTATCGCATCCTTACAGCATTTTCCCTCGTCTCGACCATTCTTGTAAACTCCGTCCGATTTCATCGCCAACCGTCACTCACCAAATGTCTAGTTTCACCATTGGCCACTGACGACTGGAACTCACAGCCTGACGTAATTGTTTCCTTAACTGACACTACTAACTTTTCTGCAATCATTAGCTTATTTTTTCTAACCCAGAACTAGATTACAATGTGTTTTTGTTGGTAAATAGTTGTGTTATTTGTTTGTCTTTTAAAATGTTCACTCCGCTGTATAATGCCCCCTGGGCCTTCAAAGAATAATAAATGATGATGATGATAACAATCCATTAACATATGGGAGGTGTTACATTGGGCAGACAGGGCGCTGTATTAACGATAGAGCCAGGGAACATGCCACATCTCTACGAAGCTTGACAGCAGCGGGACACCTTGCAGCCCATTGTCGCGCATGCCAATGCGAGGCAGTGTTGTGCAATGTCAACATCGTGGGGTGACATAAAAATAAACTCGCTCGTGAACTGCTGGAAGCACTAGCCATCAAACAAAAAGGCGAGGACTGTGTTAGTGCCCCTTCCGTTGCACTACACAACTCAGAGAAGATTTTCCTGCGGAGTGACATGAGATTGAGGCAAAGGTAGAACAGGAAGATCACTTAAAAATACAAAAGAGAAGGAGAGAGAACATTCCGACAGCAGAAAGGTCAATGCGTTGCATGAAAAAGGAAATCCGAATTAAGGGTAAAGAAAACGAAAAATAAATCAATGTAAAGAAATTAAAAAAGTCTAAGTTAGTGTAAAGAAAAAGAAAAGCGGAATCAAGGATTAGCAGAAAAGGAAAAACAGGCATTATTAAATGTTGCTTGTCCAGCGGTGCGAATGTTATACTATTTTCTCTGTGTGTTTTTATGTTCAGCTGGCCCCATTCACAAGCAATGAGCCAACTCGCTCAGCTTGTGTCCGTGACATCGACTTGTTTTTCTTTAATTTACAATGGATGCAATATTAAATGACTGGTTTTTACCAGTTGAAGGATCGACCGGCAAAGCAAATTACTGGTTCTTGGTAATTGACAATAGGAGATCGGAAACTCTTTGGTTGAATCACTGCCCGGGACTGCCGATAAACGTTTCTTAGATTAACGCATTTTCGATGTTTCAGTAGTTATAAACGTTACACTTAATTGATTCGATAACTTTATTATTCAAATATGGGTAGCATAAAGGTTCTTAACCTTTTGCTTCTCCAATGTACCCAATTCGGTTATATGTTCACTTCTGACTTAGAACAAAGAGTAAGCGAAGCCCCGAAAGGCTGTTCTTCCACCGGAAATCTTTTGCGAAAACAAAAGGGTAATTTTGCTTCATATTTGATCCCTGAGAGATTGTAGTTCCGTTAAACACTATCCGTTCATAAAAGCAATACTTTGGCTCTATAAGGTGTGATGTTCTATTTTGCTGACCAAATGGAAAGTGCAATTTAGGTATTATTCACTCCAACAATAATTTGCAACACTGGAGACTACCGGTATCCTTTAAAGTTTTAAATGCAATTTTGGCGCTCAACCATTTTTTGTAAGTTGTTTACTTTTAACCTTTCAATGTTAATTTTTCGTTTGCTTCTAACTTTTTCAGATAAAACGTGGCTATAAATTATGTTCTAAATTTTCTTATTTGTTGTGTTATAGAAATAACAGTGTGTCAAAAAAAAACGATATTTTTGGACAGAAATAAAATCTGATCGAAACGTTATTTAATATTTTGATCCGGAGTCAAACCAAAAAACTGAGCGGTTTTTTTTTTTTTTGGTTTAAGGAAAATGTACAGGCACTTCAGTATTTTCTCCACACAACGAGAAAGGTGAGAGCCGTCTGTAGGTGACAGACGTCAGACAGTGCAGAAAATGCTCTCAAAGCGTTTTTCAAAAAGAAAAAAAAACTGAGGCTGACGCTCAGCTTTATTCGACAGGCCAGGTTGGCCGACTGGACATGGCATGCTTGCTGGAAGTGCTCGATAAAATGCGATGCCTTCAAAGAAGCACGAATGTATTGACATCTAGGGAAAAACGAATGAAACGGAAACCGGCACTGTAAACGTGAGCACATGGGGCCGTTGAGTACCCGCCGCACAGGTCAATGTGGAACAGGCGTTCTCGGCGCTTAAATTTACTTGATTTGAACGGAGGTATTCTATTTCACGGGGTACACTTAATGACGTGCTTGTTCTGAGATCATTCACAACTCCTTGAGTCATTCTTCCTCGCGTTGTTTTTCCTCCGCATTCTTCAATTTAACATTTTGTAATAACTGAGCACTTGCTAAAGCATTCCGGCGCCCTACGTTATATGAAAACATACGTTTCTTTTTTTTAAATTTTGACTGATTCTTTTTTTGCACGTGAACACCAACTGTTAAGAACCGTTACTGACCATTATTTCTTCGTTCCTGAGCTCAACCGGAACAGAAGGTTCTCCTGTAAAACAGAACTGAAATCAGAAAAAAAGACATTTATAGCGGAGAGTTCTAGACACCTCATAATGCATGTAGGAATTACATGAACTTTCTCAATGCCTTGAATCACTATCTTCTAAATTCACTACAGATCATTTTGCCTTCATCTCCTAAGTTCACTACAGATCATTTGCATTTTTTCTTTCCAGAAATGTTCTTACTCTAGTATTTGTGAGAATTTTAACGAACACAATTTACTTAGTGCTTCAGTGGTTGTTCTTGCTGAATACTTAGGTCAAACATACCTCCTATATTTCAGTCTTCCCTGCTGGAATACTTCAGCCGCCATTTTTTCAAAACGGTGTGCCTTTGTAAGTAGTTTTAAAAATTCAATTGAGTGTGTTCTCAAAATGGTTTTCTATAATACGAAAACGTGTCGACCACTGCACCAGCAATGTGGTAAATGTAATTATAACTGGAACGACAACTATTCGAGATTGGTAAAACAAATATTGATGTTGACGCTTTTAAGGGAGGCGGCATTCCTTCACCTTTGTCTTCCTCGCGACTTGATTGTGTAATGCGCATTGCAGTGCAATGAATACATAATACGCAGAACACCGCACACAGTAGCATAAATCCAAAATAACGAAAAATACATAGAAACAATTTGAGCGTATATTGAAAAGTATTCGAAATTATTATGGAAGCCAACTAAATCTTAATTAATTTATGCTTTATTTTTAATCCTATATCCCTCAAAACACAACATACTCGGTGCAATGTTTCCCCAGTTTCTCCATTCTCTTTGAGAAGTGACTTTCTTCTAGGTTCCCCAAAAAATACTTGCCAGCCTCGATGGCCTCTTTCATTCGGCCTAAATTTTCCACCCGTCAGAAATGTTATAAGTCTCGGGGCCAGGTGGAAGTACGAGGACGCCAATTCGAGCGAGTATAGCGGATGCAGAAGAATTTTGAACTTCAGTTCTGTCAATCCTTGCTCATCCAGCGAAATCGCTAAATCCAGCTAATTTGCTCCGGATTGAGGAGATGCGACACCCACATTGCATAAAGGCAACTTTCATCTTAATATCTAAACTATAAATAGAGTTCCATGTGTTCGGTATCTATTTGTTTTTAAATTCGGGGGTTATTTATCGGTGTTCATATTACAGCGTTCCTGACTGTTCACCCCGCGTACGGGTCAAGTACTGTACGAAACAGCCGAGAAACGTAACTAAAACATTTTACTCCATCGGAAGAGTCTGAACCTGGAACCGGTGCTGATCAGCTCCCTAGCTCGTGGATGCGGTCGTTCCTTTTCTCCTCGGGCACCTCGCTTTTCTCGTTCCTCCTTCATTTTTTTTCTTCAACCAAAGGCTTTTCGATATTTGTGGTATTCATAAACTTCAGATGAACACGTCTGGTAAAAACCTCCGGCGGTCCCGCCGGGAACGTACCGCTACAGTATCTCTCCTTTGAGTCGGTGTTTTTTGGTGTCTAATTTCATTGCCGGAGAGAAATCGATGTTTATCGGGCTTGTGCTGTAAAGCGACTTTCTAATTACTAGAGAAAATAGAATAATTTATACGTTAAAATAAATTATATATTATGGTATAAATTATATAGATTAACTGGAAATTATATAATAATAGTTCAGTGAGGCTGTGTCCCGGGTCAATAGGAAGAAAAAAATTAAAAAAGAAAGGTAAAACGTTTCTCGCCGAAAAGGTTTTTTTTTTTTTTTCTTTCAATGACAACTCAATTTTGGCCTTTTTCGGTTTTCACCGAGTCGGAGATATCCGTTTCGGGGGTAAATAATGGTATTTATCGGTTTATGTCGAAAACACGGAAGAGTAAGTGAAAACTACTCGTTTATAAAAGCTCCCTCAGAGGTTCCATAATTTTACGCACTTATATTCGGCGAGTTCCTAAAACATGTTATGGATTTTGTTTACAATTTCATGCGTGGTAGCCGTTCTTGAACGTCCTGAACGCGGTTCGTCACTTGTGTGCCTCCGCCCATTCTTGAATACCGAAACCCAAAAAACTCACGGTGGAAAATGAAGGACCTGAATTCCCAAGAGTACAATCTAACCTGGATGTCATTTCTTCCCAAGATTTTTCTTTCAAACAAAACATATGTCCGATCGGACTCTTTTTTAATCACTATTCAAAATCCAAAAATGTCGTCAACACAACGATATTATAATATCTGAAAAAACTGTCCTCCTAGAGGCGATTATGGAAACGATTGAATTTAGTCTGAGACAAGAAAATATCCTGTTGAAGCTCTCAAATTTCTAAAAATCAGCAAGCCGTGCTTGTATGGATAACCGAATTGCTTGAAAGATACGTCCCCTTATTCTTCCTGAGAGAAATATAGTGTGGGTCAAAGAGCACTGAATAAGCAGAGACGAGAAGTGTGTTTGAAAGCATGAAACGCATAACGCAAACCCCAATCCCCCATTTTTCTTTGGTCAATCCCTCCATAGTGAATTTCTCGCTAACTTTAGTGGGAAAACTAAATTGGTGTTTAAGTCTGATCACGTGACCTCATGGCACGTGATCAGATGTCACGTGATCTGTACACCAATTACGTTTTCCCGCCAACGTCCGCGGGAATGGTCCCATAACCTATACACCAACTCAGCTCTTCCTCTAAATTTGGCTGGGAAATTGATGTCACGTGACCTAAACACCCACAGTTTCTCCGCTACATCTAGCAAGGAAATTCACGTCAAGTGACCTGACCACACCTGACACAATAACACAATTTTCTTACTAAATTTAGCAAAGACATTTACGTCACATGGCCTTCACACCAATTAGGTTTTCCCGTTAAATTTAGCGGGGCAATTGACACCACGTGACCTAAACACCCAATCCGCCCCCTCAAAAGTACTTGGGATATTGATAAAAACAAAGGTTCTTCACTCCACGAAACTATGGTTCAATGTCTGCTAAACGGTTTTAAACTATCGTATTTTAAATTTTACATTTTAAGCATAATTTTGTGGGAACGAACTTCAGGAGGGGATGTGGTAGCGCTCAGTGACTTGTGTTAAGTGAGCTTTTTGCTTTATATTATGAATGCTTGCACGATACGATGTATGTGACCCGATTAATATCTATTTTCAAGAATACCCGATATAAACTGCGAAAGAATATACTTTCATTACGGTACTTACTCAGGACACGCCAGCCATTAAAAATAATTGAGCTTTTTTTTCCCTAGGCTTTAATTAATCGAAACACAGACAATTTACCTACGATGGGTATCGACTTCCCTCATGGATCGGCAGCACGTGTAGTCACTCTGCAAGTACTTTTGTATAGAGAAGGCGTTCGAAAAGACAAGATCAGATTCGTGCCCTACTTTTAGTTTAATGCAAACTATATTTTTCCGGGGCAATCTTTTTTTCCGAGCTTACGTGACATCATAATCTGGTTATGGCTAGCTTAAATGAAGGAGTTTTCAAAACTTTTATGGATTCCATGCATATTTGCTTGATTCCACTCAACATGTCACCCCATGGCATACATTTTATGAATTTTACTTGGGCTACTCAATATCATCCTTAATCTAGTCCAGGGGTGGACAAACGGTGGTTCGCGAGCCGCATGTAGCTTGTCCCAGGTCCAAGTGCGGCTCTCGGCTCCCTGGTAAACGGGGCCATCTTCCCCTCCTGTGTCCACAAGACGAGTTCTAGAATTTAAAAAAAAAAAAAAAACAAAGCTCAGTCTTGGCAGCTTTCTGCTATCCGACGTACACACCGGTGAACTGCTTTTTGACACAGAGATGTGTCCTGTGACCGTGTTTCGTTTATTTCTCTATAAATAATTTCGAACTGCATACGCATAACCGGCTGACTAGCGAACCATGCACTCATTTTTGCTTAGCGGTTGAAGAAAGTTCTGACCCTTGGTGTTATTTGTTGTAGTTGAGAATTATACTTTTCCCCTTGGGGGAATGGCAGTTTCTTTGGTATCGTTTCTTATTAAAAGTAGCCCCACTTTCCTATTTTTTTCTGCGGCTCTCTGAACTTTTGTAATTTCGTGTGCGGCTCCAACTCCATGCCACACTGGCCACTCTTGATTTAGTCCATGCCTCTTGCGACGGATCTTTTATGAATCATCGTGGGAAATGTATATTATTTCATTCTTTCTGTCACACGATACAGCAGCTGCGCGAGACAGCACAGCGCGAGAGAGCAGTGCGTCCAGTGCGTGAACGCAGTTAAGATGAAAAAGGCATATGAATCCTAGCTTAATTCTTTATATGCAGGGTGTTTCAACCGGCTTTTCCCAAGGGTTAAAAAAAATTGGTTCACACCACGCCTGTCGAACCAACGCAGTATTCTTTACATTCCTATGAAGCAAGTGAAGATATATTTTGTGTTAAGTCAAACTGGCGAATTAACACAAATTAATTAGCTAACTTTTTAACATTAATCAGCACGCTAACCCTTTAATAAAAAAAAAACTTTAGACCGTTTTGAAAGACACCCCAGTGAAGAAGGTTATTTTTACTAAGGATATCATCAGGACCCGTTGACGAAGGCTGTAGATAATCACCACTCGAAAATAGTAGCCAAGGCTTGACCAAGAGAAGAATAGTCTTCTATTTACGATCGAGGTATATTCCGAACTGCCTAATCAAAAAACCTCTCGTGACCGACCCACCATCTCAACTTCCTTAAACATAGCCTCCTCTATACTCACAATGCATGGCAGTTCGAAGACGGAGCCATAGAATGCCCGGTAACAGATTTGGAGCGCGAGGATCTGGTAGCGCAGAAAATTTCATGGAGAACCTAATCGTCAGCGAACAGCTTTTGCAGCGGCGAGGGCCCGAAACATGCTTTTCAAACCCGACGAGAAAAGAAGCGGTAGCGCGAGGAACCCGAGGAGCACGAGCGGACATTCCATCGCTCGGGAGAAGTGCGCTTCGGCATCTCGCCCCAGCGGGGCGCCTGTCACGTGGCTCTCCTCTCATCCGTTGGCTGCCGCTCTACGTTCTCAATTTCGGCGGCCGCGTCTCGTGGCGATCTGCCAGGCTTTGTCAGTATAGATGAGGCTATGATTAACACGCGGCCTTAACACATGATTCACGCACTAGTCTGCACGAGCGCCGTCAGTTCACACATACACCGGGGCACACGGGCAAAGAAAAATACGTAAACCAACAAGCACGAGTGTGGGTATCATTCTTCTGGCCCTTCACGAGATAGCGCGGCTGATTCTCACAACCCCATTATGTCGTATCCACAAAGGTGGCCCTGGGGTGTCTGCAGGGTGTCACAGAAATAAATTTACACGGTATTTTTTACCGCAGAAATAAACTAGGCATCGCCGAACGCTCATTCTCGGTCCAAAGGTAGAGCTAGAGATCACAACCATATGCCAAAGTTCCAGCCCGATCCGATAACTTAATCAAAAGTTATAAGTGATTTTCGGAAAATTTCAATCGGAAAATGGCGGCCGACGGAGTTTTCAAACATATGGGGCTCTATGGCACTAGAAACCGAAAACGGGCAAAAATGGGCTCCATTTTCCCATTGAAAGTTTCAGAAAATCACTTATAACTTTTGATTAAATTATCGGATTGGTCTGAAACTTTGGCATATGGTTGTGCCCTCTAGCTCTACCTTTGCGCGGAGAATGAGCGTTCGGCGTTGCCTAGTTTATTTTTGCGGTAAGAAAGACCGTGTAAATTTTCTTTTGTGACACCCTGTATATTTCCTTAAGCCTTAAAGGAAGCGCGCGAGATTTGAAATACCTCACATGTCTAAGAGCACTAATATCGCTGTTCGCTAGAGGGTACAGTCACCTAACATGTTTTTAAATGTTGCGTGCTTTATTTTCTTCTTCTTAAAACTACAAAAATTATGTACACAAATGCTACTTTTATGTAAATCACAGACTGCGATCTTTCTCGACGCTCCCACAAGTTCCGTATGGGAACGTTTGCAAGCGAATTATTACCGAGAAAGCTAGTTAATTAATTTGTATTAAGTAGCCAGTTTGGCACACTATAAAAATGAATTCACTTGCTCAAGGGACTGTGAACAACACCGCATTTGTCCAATATGTGTAACAGCTTTTTCTAAATAATTGGGACAAGTCAGCTAAAGCACTGTATACAGTAAGCGCCAAAACAAAAAACATTTAAAGAATAGTTCACATAAAACACGTGTGCTACATCTTTTTTTTAAATAGTTTAACAATAAGACGGGGATCTTACAACGTGACAACCCCAATATACTTTATGCCTTTGCCGCGTACCGTGTACTGTAAAACTCTTCATATTTGCGTCCCCTTCTTTTCGCGAATCTGTTACAAAGGACATAAACGCGTCAACAAAATATTACGAATTCCAGACGCTTGCATTGAAACTGTTAAGTCCTGAAACTTTCGCGTGTCCACAAATTTCGCAAAATTTACATTTTCGCCAAAAATTAAGGGCTCGCGAACATTACGGGTTTTACACTACTCTATTCGCGTTACAATAACCTTAAATTTATAATACAAAAATTCTACGAAGCGGCACCTTCTTAAATGCCTGTTGGGAGCGACCGAGGCAGCGTCTTCGGAAGTAATTGTGAGAACGGTCCTCTTCTTATGTACTGTTAGAGCATTGGTTAGAGCATTGATTAGTTAGTTACAAAGACATATTTACTTCAATGTCACATCCTAAAACTCTGCATGATGTCAATCTTTCATAATAAAGTTTAAGTGTGTTTCCAGATGTGCGTCTAGTGTTTTTTTGCTTTTTTTTTGCATTCTTCAGATCAATCAACATGGGGGCTATTGGGATGATTATAGGTCATGAAATCGCTCATGGGTATGACAATGTTGGTAAGTAGTCATTATATTTGTTTTCAACTTTAACGCACCGTATTTTCTGGTGTATAGCCCGCGGACTTTACATGTTTAAAAGTTGCCAATTCACCCGGTGCGTACTGTCCACAGGGACGAAAAGAAGCCGTGCGTCTACTTTCTCGCACAACGCTCGGAGAGGCAATCACCGGAACTTACGGAGGGAGCTCAGTGAGTGACGATGCCGAAACATATGTTTAGACCGAAAATCGCACCTTGAGTTTTGACATTAAGCAATGCAAAATGTCCACGCCTTGCATTCCTTAATATCACAACTCAGACTTCGCTTCTTGGTGTAAAGATATGCTTCGGCATCGTCATAATTCGCCGATCTGCCACAGTGAGTCCGTGACAGACTCTCAGAGTCCGAGTATTGTGCGGTATAGTATAGGCGCACTGGTTTTTTTTTTTTCTTTTTTTTTAGAGTATGCGTTACTCTAATTTCCCTCGATAAAAGAATATTATTACGATTCAAGGACTCCCATTTTACTTAGACTAGCGGCGCATCTAAAAATTAACTGTCACTTACCACCCCCCCCCTAACGTAAAAATAGGGTTTCCCTCTCCTTAAAAAAAGGTTTTTCGTGCGCCCGTTGTATATTAATGGTGATTTATGTATGATAGAAGCTCCTTTACGAACACTAATACAGCTGACATTTGTCAAGATGTGCTCTGAATGATCATTTTTACATTTTGGTTGGGCACAAAGTGCGGACTATGCACCGTCTGTGGACCATCTAAGGAAAAGCTTTTTTTTTTCGGCTGAAATCGGCCTTCGCGGACCATTCAGCAGGGACAGGCTATAGACCGAAAAATACGGTAGTGCAGTTCAGGTTTTTCCTTATATCTAGCTCATAATTCGATAAGGCGATCTTTGAAAACATTTATTGTAATAACGTTTGTAGGAAAACAAAATCTTATACATATATCGGCAGCTATCAAATAGGATTTACCTCAAATAAAATAGCCCCCCCCCCCGCCCCTCCACAAGCCTTTAAAAGAAAGCGGAGGATATGAACATTAGATGTCTCAATTTTTTTATTGTTTTAAGTTTTCGACCATAATTCCTGCCGGCATACGGGGTTATAAGGAATATCGCTCAGAACTGAAATATTGCACCTTTTCGGCGAAGCGGCGTTATGTTGAAGTAACGCAGGACAAGACATCTCATTGCGATGCAGTTAATGCAGCTTAACTCGCTACAAGTATTTATGGCGGTAAGTCAAGTGTGGCAAGATCACATCTTTACCTTCATAAGCCTGCTTGACACATAGGTTAAATTACTCCGAATAAGCCTCTGCATGTGTGTCAAACACGTTCGCTGACTGCCTTTAATTTGATTACTTCTTGAATCAAAATGGTCCAGGCCAGTGATTTCCCTACACACCCCCTAGCGGAGCGGGGGGGGGGGGGGGGGGGAGGGGCGGAAGTCTTACACCACCCTTGTTTTTCAGAAGGCACCCGCCTAATTCGCAACAACTCTTTTGTTCTAAATGCCCTTCCCTAACCCCCCCCCCCCCTAGAAATTTAAACTCCAACCCTAATTTCAATTTATGGAGAAACCCGTGCTCCAGGCACGCCTGATTATAGTTGCCTTTACAGTGATAATCTTTTGATAGCACCTTTACAGAGTTCCAAAGCTATAAGCAGAAATCGATCCACCCAGTTTCTTAAAAAAAGTTGTTCGAAGCCGACGCGATCTTCAGGAGGTTTTACTTTTGGACTACCTGCATCTTGAAGAGCAGTTCCTGCCGGAACAGCTTGTCCAACGTTTTCTCCTCCTAGAAAGCACTATTGAGTATCTGGTTCTTGACCAGCTCGGAAATTTCACTATCTCCGAGCATGTGCTTGTGCATCTTGTCGTTGTCGATGTTTTTCTTTTTAACGCTTTCCGAGCGTTTCAATAGAAACACACACACACTCGCAGAGTACGCACATAAGTTTGATACTTTAGCCCTACGTTTAAGTAAACAGAAGCAGCCACCAGATAGCCAAAAAACATGTTTTTCGAGTGAAACTCGTCGAAGCATTAGGCTTCCCCTAGGTCCTTATTTCAAACCAACGTTAATGAAACGCTCAGTTGGAAAACTCACCGTTGAAACCTGGGCCGCTGGGTCCACCGAGACCGAGCTAAATACAACAACAGCGCCACGCCTAATCTTTTACTTTTCTGTGGTCAACCTCGCGCTTTCAGAAAGCATGTTTTTGCGTCAAAACAAACGGAAAAAACTATTTCTTAGTAACTTTTATTAGAGTTTGCACAAAATGACGGGCAAGTGATGTTTTCTAAAATCATTAGTTCGCAAGTTTGTGCGGCACTATGAATATTGTTTTTATACTACGATGTCTCAGCGGTGATTTCAGATAAAGCGTCACGACCTTCACGCTTCCTAACTTCGTAAGTAATTCACGGCGCGTCAGCTTTGGGAGACGACCCCTGAAACCGCTTCCGCCGTATCTGCTTCGGTGCCGAAATGGTCGATTAAACCCAAAATAGAAGTCACAGCGGACGCTGTCGAATGCAGTACTCCATGCAGTTCCTCGTGTTGCCGCTGCGGGAGAAATGGCGGCGGTGTGATCCTCATTAGTGCTGTTCTCGAGTACGGATCGGTGCCACTTTCTCAGAGCAGGCTCTATGTCAGTTTGCCAATTGAGTGGTCCTAGAAACTGTGGCCAGCGGCATCGCTATACGCATTACCGGCTCAAGTAGCGCCGCCAGCCCTCTGTAGTCGCAACCAAAATCGCACAAATAAACGTCTTTGTCTCTCAGCAATCACCGCGTTCGGGTGTGTCCCTACGCGTGGTCTACATGGTGTCAGAAGACACAAAGAACCCGGCGAAGTAGGCCTAATCTCAAAAGGCCTGACGGTCATTCCTTCGCCGAACCGCCGGACAACCCTGCCGCTGCAATTGCGACAGCAGCGACACCGGGACACATGACATCCCTGGTATGAGTCCCGAAGCCCCTGGATATGTCTGAACATCACTGAGTGGCATGGAAACTTTGGCCGAGTGAGTACAAGCTCTACGCGACTGCGACCGGGCTCGCAAAGAAGCGTAAAAAAATTCAAGCGGCGACGTTTTTGGTCGTAATCGGCGAAGAGGGACGGAGGATCTTCCGCACGTTCAATTTCCAAACGGAAACGGATCGCGACGACGTAGACAAGCTATTCGAAAGATTTAAGAAGCACTGCAAGCCCGTCGTTAACCTCGCGTTCCACGACTTCGTTTTCGGCACGAGAGGTGAAAAGTCGGAAAAACGCTTCGATGAATGGCTGACGGAGCTTTGTACGCTCATCCGGAACTGCGAGTACGGGCAGCTCGAAGAGAGGATGTTGAAGAGCCGCATCATCCTAGGCATAAAGGACAAGCGGTTGCAAAGGCATCTGATCAACAAGAACCCAGATTTCCGCAAGCTCGGAAAGATTTGTCGCACGCGAGAGAAAAGCAAGCAGCAGGTAGAAGAGATACAGAAAACGACCGAAGTAGGCCGCGGCAACGCCGGCAAGCACCAGGACGGCACTAAAAGAGGGCAACTTCGTACAGATTATCAAGGCGTGCGCGAAGTGCGGTGACGCGTACCACAAGAACTAAGCCTGCCCCGCAGAAGGCAAGAAATGCCAGCAGTCCTGGAAGCTCGACCACTCCGCGAGCGTCTACCGATCAAAGAAGCCTAACAAGAGAGGCGCCGGACAAATAAAGACCCGGAAAGTTGACAGCGTGGAATTCGAAGAAAGCTGCTTTCTACGCGCCGTCTCGTCGAGATACACGCAAAAAGGTGGAGTTTGGAAAGCCGAGACAAACATTGAAGGCAAGCCAGTGGTTTTGCAACTTGGATACAGGAGCAAACTGTTCAGTGATTCACTCAAGCAACTGAAGGCGATAACACAGAAGGAGTTGGGGCCAAGGAACGCACTACTGAACACATTTTTCGGCCAGAAAAAGAAATCAGCCGGAAAGGTGACTCTGCAAGTGTCCAGCAAACTCGGAGCTGCTCGGGCACAGTTTTTCGTTGTGCAAGAGGCGGTGCAAGCAACCTTCAGTGGTGAACTGTCCCAGGAGATAGGCCTCATCATACTTGTGGCCACAGTGGCAGAAGTGGGCCAACTCTACGAAGCGGCACGACCGTTTGAAGAGACGTTCAAGAGTCTCGATGAACTACGTGGGTTGGTGTACCGCATGAAACTGCACCAAGGATCACAAGGTGTAGTTAAGCCTTCCCGTAGCGTTGTACTGGCCCTCCGCGACAAGGTTAAGGCTGAACTCGGCCGAATGGAAGCAAATGGACTGATAACCCCCATCACCGAGCTGACTGAATGGGCCACCCAGATGGTAGTTGTAGTCAAGAAAGACAAGATAAGAATATGCTTGGACGTAGTTCACCTCAACAAAGCGCTCAGGAGAGAGCATTGCTACATGCCGACGCTGGAGGACATCGTCACAAACATCGAGAGTGCCAAGTACTTTTCTACATTAGACGATGCCACAGATTTCGGCAGACTCGACTAGACAAGCCCAGCTCGCATTTGTGCACCATGAGCACGCCTTACGGAAGATACAGATTCCTCCGGATGCCGTTCGAAATTGCCGCTGCCCCAGACGTCTTCTAGAGAGAAATGCTTCAAGGTCTCGATGGCGTCGAAGTGGTCATGGACGACATACTGGTGTGGGGTTTCACAAAAGAAGAGCACGAAAGACGTCTATAAAGTGTCCTGCACCGGTGCCAAGAGGTGAACCTCAAGCTGAACCTGGCCAAGTGCCACTTCTTGAAAGCGGAGGTACGCTATCTCAGCCCTGTGCTAACCGACAAAGGACTCTCGATCGACTCGAACAGAGCAGAGGACATCCTTGCAGTTCAGGTACCAGGTATCCGAAGACAGAAATAAAGAAAAAAGATGCAAAGGAACTGAAGACATTCCTGCGAATGGTGAACTTTGTTGCCAGGTTTATCCCGAACATGACGGAGTTAAGTGCACCTCAACGAGACCCACTGAACACGGACAACGCTTGGGTCTGGACCGACTCCCAAAAAGAGATCGTTGAGCGACTTCAGACAGCCTTATCACAGGTACCGGTTCTGGCATACTACGACAAGACGCAGCCCCTTTTGCAGGTAGGTGCTAGTCAACGAGGACTAGGAGCTGTCATCATGCAGAATAGACGCCCCCTTGCCTACACTTCTCGCTCACGGGCTGAACTGCAAAAGAGATATGCACAAATTGAAAAGTACATGTTAGCCATTGTGCATGGCTGCTCACGCTCTCACGACTACGTCTTCGCTCAGCAGTGCATCCTCGTTGAAAGTGACCACCACCCTCTGGAGGCGATGTTAAGGAAACCGCTTCACCAGTGTCCGCTACGTCGGCAAAGAATGCGCCTGACTGTCCAGAAGTACTCACTTGAGATAACGTACAAGCCGGGGAACGAAATGTTCATCACAGCCGCCCTGTACCGGTTTCCATTGAAAGGGAAGGTACCAGAGGAAGAACACTTTCAAGTGAATGTGATCCAAGAGCTTTCAGTTTCTGCAGAAAGACTTCCGGAGATGAAGCGGGAAGCGAATCAAGATTAGAATCTCCGCCCGCTGAGGGAGTATGCAAGCACGAAGTGGCCAGAGTACAAACATGCCATCCCCGAACAAATACGAGCCTACTGTCCGTACCGTGATGAGATCCATTCGGAAGGCGACCTCCTCTTCCGATCAAACAGACTGATCATTTCCAGCACCATGTGGAACGAAGTCCTAGACCTCCTGCATGCAGCCCGTGGGGGTACATAACATATAAAACAGCGTGCCAGAGACGTCATGTTTCAATCTGGAATATCAGTGGACATCCACGAGAAAGCGGAAAGATGTGCGCCTTGCAGACAACACAAGCCCAGGAACCAACAACTGCCGATGATGAGCCGTGATGTCCAAGAACTGCCCTGGCAGATAGTTGGCATAGACCCTTTCCACCAAGCAGGAGAAGACTATGTGATCTTTGCGGTTTTTTATTCGTTTTATTTCGAACTTCGACGCTTGAAACACACAACGGCAGATGCTATCATAAAGTTATGCGAAGAGGTCTTCGTTACGCATGGTCTTCCGAACAAGCTGATCAGTGACAATGGGCCACAGTTTAACAGCCAGAAGTTGGCCGAATTCATGAAGCACAGTGACATCATCCAAGCCAAGCGACATCAAGTCCACGCTACCCCCATTCTAACGCAATGGCTGAGCGAGCCATCCAAGAGGCAAAAACGCTTCTGAGCACGACTCCATACGACACGGCAGAATTCTACAGCGCCCTGTTAGAATGGAGGAACATGCCAAGAGACAGGCTCCTGCAGTCCCCGGTCCAGCGCCTGAAGGGAAGAAGGACAAGGACATTGCTGCCTACGCACCGCAAGGTTTTAGAGCCTGAGACAGTGCCACCCCAGGAGGTGACTGCATGACTTAAGGAGATGCGCCAGCGCAAACAGACCTACTACAACCAAGGTGCAAGAAGTCTGGGGCATCTGCACCCTGGGTCGACGGTCTCCGTGTTCGACTGTCGGACCTCTCACTGGTTGACAGCAGTCGTAGTCACAGACGACCTTGCAGCCTGATCCTACATAGTGGCGAACGAAGACGGACATCAGCGTCGTCGCAACTGAGAGCATATCCGCTCCCACAGCCCCACATCGACGACGCCACAGCCTTCGGGACCCCAGCCCGTGGCTCTACGGAGAAGCTCAAAGCAGCCCCGCAAGTCACGTCGCTACAAAAAGTGTGACTCAGCAAAGTCTTAGCTCCAGACTTGTTTTATTTTATTAAAGAAAGGAAGATGTGGGCGGCGGCATCGTTATGCGCATTACGGGTATAAGCAGCGCCGCCAGCCCTCTGTAGTCGCAGCCTAAAGCACACGAATAAACGTCTTTGTTTCTCAGCAATCCCTGCGTTCGGGTGTGTCCATACGCGCGGTATACAGTGACGTCGCCTCAAAATCATTTTCTTCATATTCCGCCCGTTGACATGCATTGCAAAAGAGTCAACACGCTCACTTGGTCTTCACAAATCGCCGTCTTCTTCGAAATGGTATTTACCATGCGCTATGGTCACCGTGACTATAAAAACGAAGCGACTGCTGGATAGACGCACACGAGAACGCAGTCGGAAGCTAGCAACATTAGACGCCATGTTCTCAATGTCGTCTGATAACGCATACGCGAAAACGCTAGCTTGGGTCTCCAATATATGCTTCCAAACAGACCACGCGTGCCCAATATAGAGGACAAGGTACGGTCTTCTGTATAATGTACGCCTATTGGGTACGGTTTTTCTGTAACCTTTCCACCCAAACGTCAACCCTGCTGAATCCACATAGTGAAGCTTAACGTGCGCAAGTATCACAACCAATACGTCTGGCAGCCTCTGATAACGAACGCAACACTAGCACACGATGATGCAAAGGCAGGCGCGTCTGCCGCTTTGCAGCGACTCTCGTCTGGCCAGCCCCAAGCGGTGTGCTTGCCGCTTGGGGCTGACAACGAGCGCGTCCTGCTCTCAGGTTCTACCTCAGCACCTGCGCGTCCGGTATTGGCGAGAATTGCCGCGCTGATTGCCGGAGACCGTGTTCGGGAGCTTAAGCGGGCCATTGCTCGATTCAGAAGCTGCTTTCGGCGTATATGTTTATTTAGGAGACGTTCGCTGCCATGGTGAAGGTGACTATAGCAGACAGACATTATTGTGTGGTAAGGGACTGAGTGGGCAGAGCTGAGGTACGTGTTTGGGCTTTTTTGGAAATTTTGTTTTTAAAATGGTAAACGCTAACAAGGAAAGTTCGAGATTATGACAATTAAGATGTCTCCATGTTTCCTGCCCGTACTATTTTAACGAGCTGTAGAAGAGAAAACATATTTTTAGCTCGCAATTAAGTCTAAGCTTTTTTTTATTACGACAATGTCGGGCTAAGCTACAAATGAGATAAATTTTTAACGCTTACGTTTATGCTCTGTCCACTTCTGCCACCAGGAAGTCAATTTGATGGTGATGGAGAGCTGCGAAACTGGTGGACCGAGAGCTCAGCGGAAGAATTTGTAAAGAGAGCTCAATGCTTTATAGACCAATACAGCAACGTTACCGTAAAGGAAGTGAACTTGACGGTAAGTGACGTCCTAACATACGTCATCGTTTGGTAAAATAATTGTGGATTTTCCTTCAACAACCGTAGTAGCACATAACAGTTGGTTGTGGTCGGGGCAGTTCCGGTCTGCCGCCACCCACAGGACCGGGACCTGCAACTCCCCACAAGACGAAAATGGTAGGTCCCGGTCGGGAACCAGGACCGAACCGGACCGGACCAACTGTCGCCGTGCCATGGTCCGACCGCCGGACGCTATAGCGAACGGCCGCGCGATAGAGCGCTCGTCAGCGGTTACGGCATCGGCGGCGGCCAGACACGTTTAGTCCGTTTGCGGTGATATTCCCAGTGACTACGCGGGCATGTTACCAACGCTAGTTAACAATTAGGTCACGAAGATTTTAAAATGCACCAACTCCATTATGGAACCAACTGAACACGGAATGTGATTATATTCTTGAAATGTACGAGGAAGTTAGAAAGGATGAATGAAGTGTATTTTGTGTTAGCGCTTGGGATGCCAAACTTGTGTTCATGAGCAAGACGAGGGGAAACTTAAATTGGGCGTACAAATAATTTGGTTTGTAGTAAAGGATTATAAAAGTAAATTTTCTGAAATGAGGAGAGGAGTGAAATTTTCCGACGTAGAATAAAGGGAGGGAATGATAAGGTTTGATATATTTGTGTAGCGATAATTTGTGAGTATGAAACGAGCAGATCTGTTTCGGGTGGCTTTCAAAGCATCAATGAGAAAGGCATGACAGGTATCTCAGACTGATCCTGCATATTCTAATTTGAGTCAAATTGGGGTTCTCTGCTAAATTAACTTCAAAGGAACAGGCGTTAGTGAAAAATTATAGCTAAGAAAACCTAAGATGCTATTAGCATTTTACGTGATGTATTGAATATGAGTTTTTCAAGAGAAGTTGTAAGTTTAGTGCTTGTCTAAATATGTGTACAGTGTAACACCTTCTAAGTTCGCTGAATTAGGAAGGTAATTAAAATTTTCGTAGGACTCGCTATACGCCCATAGATTTACAATTGTTAGAATTAAGGCTCATAAAACATGCCAAGCAACTGGACAATATTGTTAATATCAGACTGGAGCACGTAGCCGTCACAATGGTCAGTTATTTCTCAATAAATCACACAGTCATCATCAAGTAGACAGATAGGTAAGGGGATGTGAAGTGGACGATTGTTAACATAAATTAAGAATGACTATGGTCCTAAGACAGATCCCTGCAGAACACCGGAACCAACGGTAGCGACAGAAGGGCTCAAATTATTGACAGTTACGAATTGAGAGCTGTTGGTTAAGGAAGATTGAATTCATGCAAGATTGTCAAAGTCTATATAAAAGGACCACTGAGTAGAAAAAATGGTCTGATTGAGACCATACATCGGCATTCTCACTCATGAGTGCCATCACTCACGATCACTCACGCTCACCGTCAGATTTGAGGTGATCATGAGTGAGGCCGCGAGTCTCGACAAATTGTTAGTGTGATTGTGAGTGTGATCGTGAGTTACGTGAACTCATGAATGTGAGTGTGAGCGTATGTCCTGAGAACTCATAAGCTTGAGTCTGACCGTGAGTGTGATCGTGTGTTCTAAGAACTCATAAGTGTGTGTGAGTCCTGCGAACTAATGAGCGTGAGTTTGATCGTGAGTGTGATAGTGAGTTCTGAAAACTCTTCAGTGTGAGTTTGAGTCCCGAGAACTCATGAGTTTGTGCGCGAGTTCTAAAAACTGATGAACGTGATTATGAGCGTGAGTTTTGAGGACTTATGAGTGTGAGCTTTGAGATCTCTTGAGTGTGATTGTGAGCTTCGAGGCCATGAGCATCAGCCTGAATCAAGACGTGAGGCTTAGGGTGGATATGAGTACGGTGATTGCATTAGTCTGCGTGATGACGTGAGTCTGATGACAATGGCCATGATGAGGCGCCATGAGCCCTGGTATTATCTTGGCTGGGTGGGTCACGTGAGCTCCCGGGCAATTTTAGTGGACGAGGAGACTCCCGCTTCGCAACTACTGTGCGGAGCTCAGGGTTGGTTTGGGTGTCGCTCGCCTGTTCCTCGGCCATGTAAACGCGCCGGGTCTTGTGGAGGGCGGAGGAGGGGGGGGGGGGGTGCTTGTACTTGCAGCCGCCTCCTTCCCAGCGCCCACCGCAGTGTCTCATCCAGCTGTGAAGGGCAGAGGGGACAGGAAGGGGGGGGGGGGTGGTCGCTTTCGCGTCTCCTCGGCTTTCGCTCTTCGTTACACGGCAGACGGCGAGACGCCAACGTACTGATGGCGCCTCGAGGCGGCGCGGTAAGGTCGGAGTTGGGGAAGCGCTCCAAACGGTTAGCGCTCCTCTCTCTGTGGCATAGAAAGGCTCGTGTGGATTTCGGCTCCCATTGCCAAGTTGGTGCTGGTGGGCATAGCATTTTATCATTGCGTCAACTATAACATTCGCACGGCTGCGATAAAATTGAGTGACTCACGTGATCCTTATCAGCACTCAGTCGGACAAACAATTTTATCTTTACGCGCACCTCACTGTACCTTTCGCAAATGAGTCATCACTCAGGAAGTGCAAAAAAGGCGGCATCACGATCGATCAAAGCTTCGAGTGAGATCTTTCACATTGTGCGATATCATGCTTTTATATTTCGTTCGGGGCAAGATGGCGCGAGTGCGTGATGGCCAGCCCGCGCCGCGAGTGCTGCATTCAGCGCTACAAGCGGAGCTGTCTCTGGTCTTTGTTAATGCGACGGCCAATCTGCTGGTCGGGCCCTGGCGAGCAGCGCCGATCCCAATTTTGGCAGTCCCCGTGTGCACGTGCGCGCCATGTCCCTGATTCTTTTATGCGGTTTTATTAAAACCACCGGAGCCCTGATAGGTCGAGGTGTTTAAAGCATATTCTAGATTTGCCATTTGGACACCAGTTCGAGTTGTCTTTACCACTTGTGGGGTCGCTCTATAATTAATCGCCGTCCGATCGGCCTGTGGTCTGCTCGTCTCCCAAGAAGTGACACAACACAACAAGAAGGTAGCGAATGGAATGGTTGCCCGTCTTCGAGAGCCGACAGTCCGGACCCGCCGACCCTAGTTGTCGCCCGTCGTTCATAGCTTGCAGTCGAAGTCCGTGTCCACGCCTGCGGATTGTCCTTCCCACTCCAGCGCTGTGTGGGCTAGGTGTTCCGCGCGATCACAGCCCAAGTCTCGCTGCAGAACCACTCCTGGATCGTCATGGCGTAGGCCAGTATGGCCAGGGCTCGCCGTTTCCGCCAATCCTGATCCGAAACTCGCTGGTGGAATGATCCGGGGATCAACATGGGCCAGACCAGCCAGAACGGCTCTATCCTTCCTGCCCGGCCCCAGCCTCGTGCAGCACGCTCTTCCTATTTCCTCGCCGGCTAGCCGCCGCTCGCCACTCGCCCGACCGTCTTCTTCTTCTCCCGACACCCCTACGACACTAGAATAAAAAGTGGATAATTAGAACCAAACTCTGCATCTGGTACACAAGCCTAATATAAAAATGAGTCAGACAACATAATGTACGTGTGCGAAGGATAGTTACGCTTCGCATGAACATTTTGCAATAAAAAAAATGGCCTCCTGTTTTCTGCACGGTGTAACATTTGCTACCAAACTCAGGATTAAATTTGCCAGCCGAAACAAACGAAAGTTTGTTCTATGAAAATCCACAATTTGAAAACTCTCAGGTTTTGGTTGCGACCGCGCGTGCCGAACGGCGCGCGCGATCGCAAACAAATGCACGTTTGCAACTACGAGTGCCAGAACGGGCCGACGGGCATAACGCTTGAGACCTGATCGCGTGATTATCGACACCACAGCGACGTAACAATCAGAGCGATTTTTTCTACCGTATTTCTCTATGTGGTTGTCTCAGAGACTCGTAAAACAACTTGAATATGTATGTTATTTTGCCTAGTAGTTTGCAAAACGAGCTTGTCAGACCACTTTCCAAACCTAGCTGCAAATCTATTTTTGTTCATTTCAAGAATTAATGTTAAATTCACTTAACTGATGCGTCGCACTGCAGAAATCCACTTTGTCGTCGTGTCGATTCGCAAGATCTTAAATGGAAGCGCGAAAGTTTGATGCTTGAGTCACCTTCGCGACAGTGGCAGTCTTTCACGCAGCAGTAGCGACTTTTATTTTGGGTGTCATGTTTCCGTTTCCGGTCTCTGCTATGAGTACTCCTGATAAGAGGCGCAGCGAGCTGCCGCGCCGCGAAGAAGCATTTCGTCAGTCGCAAAATAAAGAACGTTCCCGATGGACGAGAACTTGTCTTCTTCCGGGCACTCGCATGCACACAACATTGGGGGCTAACTCTAGGAGTAGGGGAGATGTCACAGGAACCCGGTGAGGTCATGGAGACGTAAAGTTGATACTCACTTTTACAAAAAACAGTTCCAAAACGGCTCACACCGATGCGCAATGCCACGTTCACACGTGGTTTCTATATAAATGCGCCCTCCTGCAGTCCCCGACCCGTGCCGCCTTGGCCTACCAAATTTGTTTTATTTTGCAGCCGCTAGATGGTGCAAAGTGTAGTACCAAACTGCATTGCTGGTTGCCTATGGGCGCACCAATAAGCCCGTTTTAGTATGACTTAGCAAACTGTGAAAGCTACGACTCAGTGGGCCAATTAGAGCGTCGCATAGAAACAGGTGGCATCTAGAATGAACACCTGTGAGACGCTGTCACGTGTCTCACTCCAATGAATTTACTGGCTCATCGAAATTCGTAGAATTCGTCGAGTGCCGTGTGCCTGTTTACACTGAGAAGTAGGTGACGGCGGCGCCGGAACGTCGTGGCGCCTGCCCCACGGGCCGCGGCCGAGTTGCCCGCGTGCCGGCTGGACGGGACTGTAAGGCGCCAATTGCCCGGGCTTCTCGGGCTTCGTGCATGACGCTGTGCTCCCTTTGCCCGTTATTTATTCATGCTGCATTTTTACGTTATTACGGTTGAATGCATAGGTACTAAAGTCGAGTAAAGAATTTCTTG